TTATTTGTCTTCTCGGCTGGATATACGATCTAGTCCGTTTTTTCGGGGCCTTCGGAAAGTGAGAGACTTGTCAACTGGATGAACGCGCTTTTAGGAATACGAGATTAAAATACAGCAGCCTACATGACATTAATAAAATAATATATAATATATCACTGTAATATATAATAATATATATTACTATTTATAAAATTGTGTGTGACAGATTGATAAATATATATGTGAGTATTCGCAAATCCGTAAAATAAAATTTTCTTTTTAATTAAAATGAAAAGAAATGAGCTTCGGCTTTTACCATTCTGGTCCATCTGTATCAAACACGCATATGAATAAACTCTTATCCTTAGGGCCGGTATCACAGTTTCCGATTAAACTCACTCTTCGTCTCTTTCTAGAGGGACAGTTAGAAAGAGATGCAGAGTGAGTTTAATCGGAGGATCACGTTAATCCGGAGACTGTGATACCGGCCCTTATTCTTTTTATTATCAAGTTAGATTAGATATAGAGAAAAAATGTTTTAGTAAGCTGAATTTTGACACAGATCTTTGTTTTTGCATAAGATTAAAGGGGAAAAAAGTTACCATTAAACAATGGCTAAAAAAATAATTAAACAAATAATAGCGAATTCGGGCGCTTGCACTAGTGCACACTGAGTGCGCACTAAGGCTTGTTTATAATCTAGTCTTATAGACAACTCTGGAAGATTCTTAGGGAAATGGGAATAGAAGAAGAGCTTATAGGAAAGTTAGAAAGGATTTACGAGATCACAAAGGTAGCGATTAGAACAAAGAAAGGCGTAACGAAGGAATTTTTTATAACAAAAGGAGTTAGGCAGGGCTGTGTTCTGAGCCCGCTTCTATTTAACCTGTATATTGCGGAGATTAGGAAAGCATTAGAAGTAAGAAACATAGGCGGCGTGCAATTAAAAGATGTAAGAGTGTGGTCGTTAGAGTATGCAGACGATATGGTATTTTTAGCAAAGAATAGGGATGCGATGCTAGATATGATGGATACAATTAGGAGATTTTTTAGGAAAAGAAAAATGACTTTATGTACGGATAAAACTAAGATGGTGGTGTTCAATAAGAAAGGTAGGGAAAAGGTAGAAAAATGGAAATGGGAGAATAAAGAAATCGAAGAAGTCAAGACGTTTAAATATCTAGGGTTTGTATTTAATAGGAATGGTAAATATACAGAGCATATTAAAGAGTTGTGTAGGAAAGGCAGGATAGCGGCTAACAGGACGTGGGGGCTAGGAGAAAGAATTTGTAGGAATGATTTTATTAGAAGAGGGATGTTATTTAGATATTTAGTTAGGAGCGTGATTTCATATGGGGTGGAATTATGGGGCTGGGAAGAAAAGAAAAATTTAGAAAAGATATTGTTGGATTACGCTAGATGGGTTTTCAAATTAAAGTTTTGCACGCCGAGATATATAATGTCTAGAGAACTAGGGTTGAGCAAATTAAGGATAGGATGGGGAATTAGGGCTATGAAATTTGAGGATAAGGTCAGGGAAACAAATGAGGAAAGGTGGATTAAAAAGTGTTGGCTGGAGAAAGAAAGTAATGATTGGAACGATAGGTACGGTAAGGAAAGAGAGAAATATTTTAATAGGAACGGTTGGAGTGTTGTGGCGGTGGAAGCCTTGAGAAGGGAGGGGAGAAATTTAGGTAAAGAAATGCGGAAGAGGGATGAGGATGTACAGAGGCAATTAGAGGGAAAC